GTCTCTTTGACGAGTTGTAATATGGTGCTACGAATGGTAAAATTCACTGACGATGCCGACTACGATGCCGACTACGATGCCGACTACGATGCTGACTACGATACCGCGAAACGTCTGGGAATGTACTACGTCCACGGTCCCTCTTTGGAAATAATTATGCATACAATGGACTCAGGAGAAGGTGCGTTCCTATAAGTCTCCCTACCAATATGACCGAGTTGCGAAAACAAGGTTAATCAACCTCAAGCAAGTATATTATTAGCTAAATAGCTCTAGTGTTAAACGCGTATATGCTGTTTCTATCCATAATACCATGTCTATCACTTCTTATGTCCTAGTATCTCGAGTGCCAACTTACATATGTTGTGGTTCTACTTGCTTCGATTAGGCTAAGCACTACCGATGAATCACAAGGACGTAAATCCGTTAAGCTTAACAGTCAACAACAAGCATAGAGCAACACAGAAACGAGCGAAATTCATTTGCTTTAAGCTCAAGAAAGTAATTAACAGACTCTCAGATACCGTTAAGAATTCACATTAATTTCTTATAGAATCCATTACATTAGGCTAGTGTGGACAGAACATCTCAGGTGAGGAGGCGGTAAGCGCCTTGTTGGAGATATTGGAGCAAGAAGAGGATATCCTGGAGGCAGAATGGATACGGAAAAAATCGTTAACACGACTGATCAACCTGACAGTAAAGACCACAATTTTTACATTTAACGGCAGTATCTACGAGTAAATAGCTGGATTACCGATGGGATCTCTACTCTCACATCTTTTGGCAAATGTGTACATGAAAAGTTGAAAACGGAATTCGAGATGACACCACTGCAACCAAGAGTGCTTATGCGATACTTGGATGACTACTTTGCACATTGACACATGGTAAGGAAAATTTAAATGAATTCCTTAATTTCATTAACAAACTTAATGAAAGAATTAAATTCACTATTGGGGGGGAGGAAGATGAACGACTACCCTTTCTGGATATTAAGGTCATGCGCTCCAACAGGACAATCATGATGAGACTATACAGAAGGAATTCATATGCGGGAATAATCCTTAATTTTCAGTCTAACCATAACTGCAGACTGAAGATAGCAATACTGATGAGTTTGCATATCAGAAGCTTACTACTAACGGACACTGAGTTCTAGGAAGATGAGTTGGATAAACTGACACGGATCTGCCTTAGTAACGGGTACCCCAGAGAATTAATAGAAAAAAATGTAGCGGTTATAAAGGGCAGATTCCAAATCTAATTTTATGAAAATCAGATCAGGAATCAGAAGGACGATCAAATTATATTTGCTTGCCCTCATTAAAACTGAGCCGAAATTGCTATGATTACCAAGGAAATGGAATATCAAGGTGATAATAAAGGACAAGACAAGACTTTTCACCAGCCTCTGACGCAACACGAGAAGACTGACAAACCTGATTGCTCAGGAGTTCATCGCATCTAATGCGGCAACTGTGAGCAGAAGTATATCGGCGAAACAGGAAAAAAAATCGGCCTACGTATCAATAAGTAACAAAGACTCTGCAGGAACATGAATACGGAAAGTTCCGAAATAGCGGCCATCGATAAAATAAACGAGATAAATCTAATAAACAAGAGACCTGAAGAGACAGGATCAGTATATTGCCTAAATAAACTGGGAGAAGACAAGGAAACAGGAAGATCTGCAAAAAGAAGCCGACTGGATCCAGGTGATATCCTTAATTTTCGGAAAATAAATCGCAGCGGGACTAGAAAGGAACACTCAGAAGTCAAGAGGAGACGTCTTCAGTGAGCCTAATCATAACAAGTAGAACCACATTTGTGGGTTGGCACACAAGAGACTACGACATAGGAAGTGATAGACATGGTATTAATGATATAAACAGGATAGACGCAGTGGAGACTAGAGCTATTTGGCTAACAATTAACGTGTTTGATCATAAACGTGATCCATGAAGCACGTCTATTTTTAGTCAACTAGCTCTAGCCTCCACGGGCACTTTAGCCTCAAGTTAGTCTAGCAGACATAGAGTGTGGGAAATCACACCTCTAGGCGCACATATGGGATGGCAGGGT